TTAGATTTAGATTTAGATTTAAATTGAGACTCGTCAAACCGTGAATGTGTATGGTACACACACACACACACATACACACACAGATATATATATATATATATATATATATATATATATATTATAAATAAATGTTACTTTAAATTCATAATACGCTAAAATCGCACTTGTAAAATCGCGCATCAGATTTTATCGGGAACGACAAGTAAACAACACTTGACCGCCGGGAAACTTTACTTACCTAAAATAGTAAAGTTAACAGTAAATACACCGTACACGAAAAGGGCAATGGTAGGATCATAATAATAACATATATCCAGGGCTTTCATTATCTTTTATACTAACAGGCCCAAATGGTTTTGAAACACGCCGTGTCGGTGTGCTGGCGGGGGGTTTGGGGGTCCCCCCAAGGAATTGTTAAAACCTAGATGATAGATCATGCTCGGAGATGCAAATTGCAATCTGGTGTATTCTGAGCTGCAGTAAACAGACACATTTGATTTGGATTACAGTATGGTCCTTTTTTCCAATTTGGTTTTTCCTGGTACATTCAGAGTTCACCAAAAGTTTCCAAATTATGACGATTTAGTAATTATAACTAGGCCTATAACAAGTATAAGACTGAGTTAGACAAGTACTACTACTAGTACTAGTAGTAGTAGTAGGTACGTAAATACTAAAATAGCGTTACTCAAAAACAAAACATGCAATACTTCTTGTGCACATAACGTGCATACAATTAACTCAACTGATAACCAATGAACTCAATGAATGTGACCATATCTGAACTGTTCAAAGCGGTCACCGCCTACTCGGTTTTCGGATAAAGGATAGTTTGGGAACCCCCCCCCAGTGTGTTTTAAGATGTGCTACACTAATCTGGGGTGCTAAACTAGGCTTGAGCCTGTTTTTTTCATCACAATAATTTCTTCATAGATCTGGATCCACGGCACTTGCACCTGCACTGTTCTAATATTAAAATTATAATAAATAAATTCGAGTTGTTACTATCAGTTTATTATGGTTATGTATTCAACATCGCCTAATTATTTTTCACAAACCATCAAACGCTGTTTAGTAACTCATACAACACGCAATCATATCATCATATCTTCGCACTTACATCCTGTCTGTCTTGAGTCTTGTCAATATCTGTTGTGACTTTTGTTATTAGTGGCTAGTGAAAAAAATACACGGGGGATCGGGGCGATTTAGCCCGAAATGCCAAAAAGAGCCCCGGAAATGCCAAAAAGAGCCCCCGGAAATTTGCATAGAGTTCAATGCAAACCAAATTTTAGAGTGCTATTTTCATGCACGCGAGCTTGAAAAGTAGCCCCCGAAAAATAAATTTTAATTTTTCCCTGTTAGTGGCTTGTGTGCAGTGGTGACATGGTGACATTTGCACTGGTCATTATCGACTGTACTGATATAATTGTAATTCAGGATCATGAGTGTTGTCATATGTCATGTTTTTTTCTTCTTTGTTTGTTGTTGTTCATAAATCGTGTATGTATTTCAGAGGTTCAAATTCTGTGGAGACCTGGACTGCCCAGATTGGGTCCTCGCTGAAATCGCAACGCTATCTAAAATTGCAAGTATTATATATATAACATAAGAATACATGTGTGCATACCCTAGTTGTATTCATTATAGCTGTATACGAAACATCCATATATGTTTTTTGTTTTGTTAGCATTTTAATAAATGAAAGTTTATTGGGAAACTTGCACATTCTGCATGGCCACCAGCATGGTTGAACTCATCTACCCTGTGTCTTGTATGATATGGCAATGTCATTACATGTCCCCCTTTATTCCTTTAACCTGAATATCTGGAGATCTTCCTTCAGAAATAGCATGCCAGGGTTCTCAACTGGGATATAACTAATATTGGGTCCAGTCCTAGCATAGCCCACTGAGATTATAAGTGAGACCAGTATCTATTGGTTGTATGTTGTTGTATATGTGTTCATCTTCAGGCCCCATTGCATATATTAGCGCACTCGCTTGCACACTAGATCGCTATCCAGCTAGTTTGGCACCAGTCTGTACCGGTCAAATCTCATTTTCAATTTCAGCCATCCAGTCAGCTTGCTTATCAAACTGAAATGTGAAAACATGATTGATGACGGATAAGAGATCCAATGACACCATGTAAAGTCAATAAAGTTCCCGTTGTTGAGAAGCTTGTCATTCTCTATGGATACCCACGTAGTCGGTCTCATCTTCCATGTTCTTGCTGTATTTTTCATGATATGGCAGTGTCATTACAAGAGTGATATATACGGTTTGAATGATTTTTAGCAATTTTTTGCAGACATCTGTCAAGATGAAGTTACTGTGCAATCAGGTGATAGCTGACCTTCTGGGAAAACCAATTGATGTAATTAAAATAAATATTTTTATCATGCATTCTGAAGCCAGGAATGATTTCTGATACTTTTCTGATATAGTACTTAGTACATATATAAATGGCTCATATTATAACAATTGTAGCATCAGTCTCTAATTTCGTAGTATAACTTATTTCAATGCTTATTTTCAGTATAATAAAGTGAGCAAGCTTACCGCAGATGCCAAATACGGTGAGTCCATAGTGAATATATGTTCAGTCAATCATGTAATGTTATGTAAATGGTGTGTGCGTGCGTGTGTTTATAATAATATTTAATATGTTTAAAACAGTGAATGTAATGCATTATAACACTAATGTTTATATTCAGAAATTAATCTATTATTTATTTAAATTAATTATTTATTTTATTTAAATTGATCTAATTATCGATCTGCAGAAATTGGTGACATCAAGGCGAGCATTGCCTGTCTGTCATTCATTCTCTCGAGTGCTGCCAAGTACAGTGTGAGCAGCGAGTCCCTGTCGAACGAACTCCAGCAGCTAGGCCTTCCTAAAGGTAATAACAGTTGATGAAATGAATTGGATTACCAGTGAGCAGGTTAAAGCAAGGATTTCAAACAGTCTTCTCGACCGTACTCTTATTTTCCCGACCACTACAGTACTTAATTACGCTGATAGGGTCTATGTCCCCCAGGGTACTGCCGGAACGTACCCTGGGTATACCTGGTACTAAATACTACTATCTAATATGCCGGACCGTACCTCGCCTACTCCACTAACGAGTCTAGGGAGTCGCCTCCACTCGCCGGTCAACGTCCTCTCAACCCTCACCACCCCACACCACCCCTTACACCACCACCGCTACCCACCCTACACCTAACCCTAAACCATATCCTAAGCACTAGCCTACCCCAGGGGGTACGCCCTTCAGCACGTCCTGGCGTGGACCTAGAACGCCCATCAGCTTTAATACTCCCCGCTAATCACCCTGGCCTCCACAAGCTGTAGGTAGCACGGGTGCATAGCCCTTGTGGTCCCGTGGTTGCACTGTTGTTAGACGAGTGAAATAAACAGTAACATGGATCTTGGAGCATGAATACTGCATTATGATTAAATCTCTGCCACTGTTGTTTTCATGTTTGGATCAACTGTCACTCTACACTAGTGTTCAAACGCCCAAGTAGAAACCTGCTGCCTAAAATCACATTTAATTATCTATATTTGTAATGTCATCAGTACGATAGTCTGCTGATTACTCGTATTGTATTCTTCGCTCGACCACCCTCTTTACTCTTTTAGCTGTAAGCTGTACATGCACATCTATCCTTCCAACTAAGTACCGTTTTAAATTGTCTCTTACTAGCAAATCACACCACCAGTGAGTGCGGCCCCGCACATCATTGATGGCGCAAGGTCCTACAATAGCATTGGAATGCTGGCGCGAGACGGCAGCTTGTCCAAGAAGAATTGCACATGTAGCGTATTTTCCCCTGTCCCTTTAATTGCGAGATTCCATTCGAAATGTAGATATTTCTTGAAGTCGTAATTAGAACTGCTTGATAATCCATGGGTAACCCGATAATCCATGTCTGATCTGGAACTAATCGGCTATGCCAGGAGGCGTACTAATACAAAGGGAGTAAACAGAGCGATTTGTACACCGGCGACTTTTCACTACATCTTTGTCGTACGAGTTCCGATGTGAATAAAAATACAATGTATGCAACATGAGCTTCTTTTGTTCATCTGCTCCTTATTCTATTCGTTCCGTAAGTCATTAGCAAACCGCGTAGCTTCCTTCGTGTTTGACATAACTCATACTCTTTGCACGAACCAGGTTTTCACGTTGTTTACTGTCCGCTGCGAGGACCACACTCTAAAAGTTTTGCAGCCACAGCAGCCTTCTGCAATGACGCACGTAGGCGCTTTTCGGGAGGGGCTTCCCGTATCCTGAGTCATGCAGAACAATGTCGCACCTAGAAATAAGTTTACTTGCCACCCATGCTCGGTTATAAAATTAATACTATTTCTTACATCTACAACTCATCAGTTAGAAGGGCCTTTGTTTATGCTTATAATCCCGCAGCTTTTTTTTAAATAAACCTATGCGCTTGGTAAACATATCTGAACTACTTTACCGCGGAGGAAATTAGTTTATGTTTGTTCTGAGTAAAGGCTACGCTGCCATGCCGCTTGTAGCTTTTCGCACATCGTGTTGGCATAGCAAAACCGTTCATCTCTAACGCGCTGACAGTTTCGCCGCTGCGCTCGCCTGACTGCGTCGCCTGCCTGGCTCATTGACGAGCTTGTGTTGCAAAATTTAGAGTGTGTCCTCGCCAGCCCGGACGTAAATAACGTGAAAACCATGTCGTCGGCTCGCCCCAAACGTCACCTCGATCTATGTCAAAAACGACATGACGCTACCGCGTTTCGTTAATCCCACCTCGGATACCCACTACGACCAAACCCAGCACTCCATGAACAAACCAGAAGCTCATGTTTGTATACCATTTCGTATTTTTATCCCACACTGCGCAAGCTTCGTACCCCACCAAAGAATTCGTGAAGCATGCACGTACGCAAAACTCCGCTGTCTCCACTCCTTTTCATTATACACCCCCTCCCTAGTCGGCTATGAACAGTGCCAAGTATTTTACGGTTGTTGATTTCATGCCTTAGTGTCGTGGTTGGAACCTCGGCGAGTGCGAGCTAGAGTTTAAGCTCTATCCACCGTTAAGTGTGTACCCGTTACCTGTTACCTCAGTCTATTATAGCATCCTAATTTTTAGAGTGTTGACTCTCTGGATTTAACAAAGAGTTTATCAGCAAGTCGAACTCATCACACATAAATGTTTTGACTTTTATTCCAGATTTTAAATACATTACGATTCTCATAACCATGTATTGTATAATTTCATACAGCGTTATGTGTTAGTCGTGAGATTACTTGAATGCACCTCTCCAAAAACTCGTTAGGCCGCAGCAATGAACCCTTGGCCGTACTACTCATGCCAATTTCTTTGGTTTAAAGAATGAATATGTCTTCAAGCTTTGTTACAGCATCAAGGTGGTTCTTCGTATTTTTCTCTCTGCGTACAAATAAATTAGGCAATCGCCCCTAAGATGTCACCGTAGGTTGCAGCAACATGGCTAGTCTGTAAGTGTGCTAATGTGGGATAAGTCTTCTTTAATTATTGTCCGATCTTGTGCATATGGCACTGATAACAAGGAATATAGCCTCGCCTTAAACTATTAGTGTTTAGAGTTGTTGAACTATTATCTCTGTTCTTGGATAGGAGATACTCATAGCCATACGTTCACCTTCAGGCTAAAAATCAATCGGACGCCAGATAAGAGTTCCCACCCGAAATCTACTTTCACTCTCACTGCCAACCAAGTTTAAGTTTTTTCATCATGCCGCACTAAGTAGAGCTGACGAGGGTCTATGTCCCCCCGCCAGGTAACTGTCCGGAACAGACCCTGTACTGTCCGTATAACATCGGCGCGACCCAGCGGACCGTACCGCTGGTACTATCTATATATTAGCAGCGACCTGGACGGACTCGCCTACTCCACTAAACCAAGTCTAGCGTCCCCTCACGCGCTACTCCCTAACCCTAACCATAACCCTAACCATATCAGATAGTTACCCGCGCCCGTCACCGTTCCGGCCTCTCGGACTGTATCCGGTACGTTCCGGCAGATACCCTGGGACATAGACCCACTATGAGCGTATAGTAGACCGTTACAATAGATAACACCTAGAATAAACTGCAAAAATTTTAAGCAATTCCATAGGCTAGACATTAAAAAAACAAGTGAAAACCACTTAGCCAGTGAATTTCTTGATAGCTGGCATTGTGGCTGTGGATTATTGAATTATCCCATAATTGAAATTGCAATGCCATGTCTATACCAGTACCACTGGATTATATTGCTAGATCAAATAATGAAGTGAACTTCTGTAAGCCATATAGTAAATATGCTTTCATACAATGTGTCTGACTGATAATTAAGTATACAACAACAGCAGTAGATTTACCAACAACAATGGTATACAGCACATTAGTTTATATTAATATCCTTAATGTCACTTCTGTTCAGTATCATTGACTATTTGTTTGATGCATTTTTAGGGGTGTATTGATTTCAGTGGGTAGGCATAACAACTATTTTTGTTAACACATTCCCTGCTAAATATTCATGAGATAGCTCGACCCATGTTAACTTACGTCTAGCCCCCTTTGTTCCTTGTGGAAAAAAATTTTTGTATATATATGCGTGTCACGGTCTAATATACCCCCATCTGCCATTATCCTGAGCGCTAACTGCGCATGCGCCACGCATGCCACCACCACGTGCTAGCGCTTACCAGGAGATAGCAGAAATTTAGCATTGAGGTTTAAAGGCTGAGACGCCGCCACCGCGTCACATAGCCATAGTGTCAAAATACGGACCAGAAGCCAGTTTATGTATTCTACTGACACACCCACGATGACTATACCTCCCCCGGCGCCTGTGTCGGGCCAGATTCAATATGGCATGTATAGCGCCCACGCGCGGCACGTCATACCCGACTCTATATTGCCTAGAAATGAGGGAAGGGAGAAGGAGGGAGAAGCTGGGCTGGAGAATGGTAGGAAGGGGAAGAAGGCAGAAGCGTGGCCTGGGAGAATAGAGGAAGGGATAAGCTGTGCACGACGGAGGAAGAGGAGAAGGGACCACGGCCCAAGCGTGTGGGACGAAAGAGGAGAGGAGAAAGCTGTGGAGAAGAGGAGCGGAAAGCTGAGTGGAGAAGCGAGGAGGTGAGGAGGGAGAAAGGGAGAAGGGTGTTGAGAAGGAGGAAGGGATAACGCGGTGATTGTGAAGGATGAGGGGAGAAGACGACCCGTGGGCTGACCGACAGATGGGGAGAACTCCGGTGGACCGACCAAGGGAGCCGCAGCCGCAGAGAGAAGGAGAAGCGTGGCGAAGCATGGCGCAGACCAGCCCGTGAGCGAAGGAGGAGGCGGAGACCAGCTGGTGTAGAATGAGGAAAGGCAGTAAGGAGGGGAAAGGAGCTGTGGAGGAGGCAACGGGGAGAAGTAGAGAACGTGAGAAGAGGAGAATCTGGTGAGAGAGTAGGCATGGGGAAAGAGAAGGTGTGGCGAGAGCCGGAGAGCTGTGAGAAGAGGCAGGGAGAAGGAAGAAGGTGGTGGAGGAGGGAGAAGGAGAAGTGTGGAGAGGGAGAGAGCTGTGGAGAGAAGAAGGAGAGAATGAGGGAGAAGGGAGCTGGTAGAAGAGGGGAAAGGGAGAAGGGGATAAGGAGCGGCGAAGGAAGCTGTGAGAGAGGGAGAAGGGAGAGCTGTGGAGCGAGAGCAGGAGGGAGAAGCTGGTCGTTGAGCTCCTCCTTCTCCACCAGCTTCTCCTCCTTCCACCAGCTCTCCCTCTCCCCTCCTCTCTACCAGCTTCTCCCCCTCCTCTCCCTCCTCCCCCCTACTCGCATCACCTTCTCCCTCCCCTTCTCCTCGCTTCCTCCTCCTCCTGCCCCTACTCCTCCATCCCCCTTCTCCCCTCCTCCTCCTCCTCCTCCTCCTCATCACCTTCTCCCCTCTCCTTCTTCCCCTCCGCCCTCTCCTCCTAGCTCCTCCTTCCCTACCCATCCACCTTCCCTTTCCTTCCCCCCTCCTCTTCCCGCCTCCTCCTCCACTCTCCCTTTCTCCTCTCCCACGCCTTCCTCCCTTCTCCTCTTCATCCCCTACTGCCATGCACCTTCTCTCCTCTCTCCTCCTCCTCCCCCCTACTCCATCACCTTCTCTCCTCCTCCTCCTCCATCACCTTCTCCCTCCTCCTCCCTCCTCCCTCCTCCATCAGCCTCTTCGTCCCTCCTCCTCCTCCCTCCTGTCATCACCTTCTCTCCTCCTCCTCACTCCTCCTACTTCTCCATCACTCTCCCCTCCTCCTCCCTCTCCTCCTCCTCCACCTCTCTCCATCACCCTCTCCACCTCCTCCTCCTCTCCTCCTCCCTTCCTCCGCATCCCTCTCCCCCATCATCTTCTCCGCCCCTCCCCTACTCCATCACCTTCTCTCCTCCTCCTCCCTCCTCCTCGCATCCTCCTTCCCTCCTCCTCCTCCTCCACCTCGGCTCCATCACCTCTCCCTCCTCTCTTCCTCCTCCTCCTCCATCACCTTCTTCGCCTCCTCCTCCTCGGCTCCTCACCTTCTCCCATCACCCTTCTCTTTCTCCTCCTCCTCCTCCTAACCCATTCACCTTCTCTGCCCCTGCCTCTCTCCTCTCATCACCGTTCCGCCTGCCTCCTCCTCCTCCCTCCTCAGCCTGTCTCTCCTCACCTTCTCTCCTCCTCCTCCTTCTCTCCTCCTCCTCCTCCATCACCTTCTCCCCTCCTCCTCCTCCTCCTCCTAACCCTCCTATGGGCAGCCGGGTTAAGATATAATGTGCGCGAACAATTCCAGACCGGTCTGAGATTACCCCAGTCTGAATTTACCCACCTATGGGCACACAGGATATAATTTGCAGGGGTAATTTCAGACTGGGGGTAATCTCAGACCGTGACACCGGTCTGAGATTACCCCAGTCTGAATTTACCCACCTATGGGCACACAGGATATAATTTGCAGGGGGTAATTTCAGACTGGGGGTAATCTCAGACCGTGACACCGGTCTGAGATTACCCCAGTCTGAATTTACCCACCTATGGGCACACAGGATATAATTTGCAGGGGTAATTTCAGACTGGGGGTAATCTCAGACCGTGAACCCCAGTCTGAATTTACCCTCCTACTGCCAGACTAATCTCAGACTGTGGCCGTGCCAGTCTCATTATCCAGCGCTACTGCGCATGCGTCACGCATGCGCACGAGGTGCTAGGGGTAATTTCAGACTGGGGGTAATCTCAGACCGTGACACCGGCCTGCAGCAGTTACACGTGTGTATTCACGCAAGTTGCATAGATTGTAGCTTGTGAGGGTTTGTAGACAGCAATCCCATATGGTCTAGTGGTTAGGATCCGGCGCTCTCACCGCCGTGGCCCGGGTTCGATTCCCGGTGTGGGAATGTACTTTTCTTTTTCTTTCTTGCAAAACGATGTTTGTGTTAGCTAGTATGTAAAGGTATGCATATGGTAAAATAAAAAATAATGAAAAATGAGTGACTTTTCTAACAAAAACCTTTATTTCTGTTATAATAGAATTGAAGCAAGCATATAGCCAGATAGACGCTCTAAGCTGAGATCCGCTACTGGTCGTGGAACACAAGCCTCATTAATTCCCATATCATATTAAGTGTTCTAGCAACAATATTTACTTGTGACTTTCATGATATCAGGCGTTAATAACGACAAATTGTTAATAATGTTTATAATTTGTTAATAAACGATTTGTTAATTGGTAATAAATAAATTGGTAATAAACAACAAATTGTAATTTGTCATTATTAACCCCTGATGATATTGATATAGCATACTGGTAGGGTCTTGCCTTATTATGAAGATGATGAATTTTTGCTCGATTGTTTTAATTATGGCACATTTTTTTAAAAATTCTAAGATTTTGAAGCATACTGCTAATACAGTACTGTCTGGTTTTTGAATTAATGTTCGTGTTTCATCTCCTGGTAGTCTGTTAGGGTCTGTTTGTATGTTGGATGCCATGATAAAGTGTATTCAAATGCGTAGCCAATTAGGTCTAATTAGCTTGACAGACTGTATATCCACTGGCAATAGGTTGTTTTGAATCTGCAACACAGCTGCATTATCTCGAAATGACATCTGAAGAATCTATTATAACGCGTTTACTGCATTTTGATTTCGTAATGATTTTCCCAGTGCTCGCAGTATCTGTTTAATTATTCATAACCTTAAATACTACTAAATGTTTCATAGCAAGTAACACGTTTTAGTCGAGTGAAATTGAAAAGGGAAAAACTGTATTATCCTATATTTATATATATGGGATGTCTGTTAGGCCGTGTGCGAAAAATGTACAGTTAGCGTGGTGTTTGTGAAAACGGTAAGAACTGCTTAACTGTATATATATATATGCGAGTGCCTAACAACGCATGAAATTTATGTATAAGCGGATTCGCGTCATTCCACGGAGATGTGTGAGGTTGAAAGGGGTAGGGTGGTCCTGATAATGAAGAAGTGTTTGCACTGGATTGCAATAATGAAGAGTATGTAAATATGTCACCGTATTCTGAGCTCTAGAACCGCCCAATAAACATAGATGTAAAATGTAATGGAATAACCTCTTTCTTTTGGATGATTTTTTTCATATACAGTAAGTAGCATATAGATAGAATCTCTCTACGTTCATATCCCTTCTACTACTGTGTGTTATTGTACTATAGGATCGTAGAAATGTCTGCTTGTGTGTGCGTGCGTGCGTGCGTGTGTGTCCGTGCGTACGTGCGTGCGTGTGTGCGCGCGCGTTATGTGTGCCTTTTAACCACGTTATCAAGATTGAATCTAGGGTGAAATGGGCTAACGCTCCATTAGGAGTGTTCCAATTTCCCAACTTTGATATCATTAATGATTAATGATTAATGATTAATAATCCGAACCCTAACCTTAACCTAAATGACATTAAACCACAAACTAATATATAACCATGACCATATATATATATATATATATGGTATTATGACCATTAATGACATTAAAGTTGGATACTATCTAATATGCCGGACCGTACCTCGCCTACTCCACTAACGAGTCTAGGGAGTCGCCTATGCCTACTCCTTAACCCTAACCCTAACTCTAACTCTAACCCTAACCCTAACCCTAACACTAAACCTAACCATATCAGCTAGATAGCTACCAGGGTACGTTCCAGCAGTACCCTGGGGGACATAGACCCTATCAGCCTTAATTACTGGTATATGGCTGCACAGTGTATACAGGTGTCATACCCTTTGTCGTGGGTTGCACTGTTGTTAAGAGTGAATAAACAGTACATGGATGTTGGAATAATATGCAGTATGATTAGAATCGTGCCACTTTGTTTTCATGGTTTGGATCAATTTGTCACTAATTAGTTTCGAACGCCCAATAGAAACCCTGCTAAAATAACATTTAATTATAATTTGTAATGTCATCATAGATAGTTGCTGATGTACTCGTAATGTATTTTCGCTCGATCTTTAGTTTTAGTGTAAGTGGAATGGCAATGTATGTTAATAAGTAAGTTTTAAATTGTTATAGAACACAGCACATCATTATGCAAGTCATACGAAGATAGCATTGGAATGCTGCGAGAGGAGCTTGCAAGAAGAAGTCTCACATGTAGGTATTTTCCCTGTTCTTAATTGCGAGAGTCATTCGAAATGTAGATATTTCTTGAAGTCGTAATTAGAAGCTGCTTGATACCATTGTGAACCGATAACATGTCTGGATCTGGAACATAATCGCTATGAAAGTGACAATATTTTTTTACATTGTTGATTTCAGTGCCAAGTGTCGTAGGTTTGGAATGGCGAGTGGACTATGTTTTAAGCTCTAGTCACGTTAAGGTACCGTTACCTTACATCAGTCCTATTATAGCATCTATGTTTTAGAGGTGATTACCTGGATTTAAAAAGAGTTATCAGCATGTGAACTCATAATTGAGTAATGTTTGATTTTAGTAGATTTTAATAATTAAGATTTTCAGTAAATGTTTGTATAATTATAATGGTTATGTTTAGGGTGGCGATTACTTGAATGCACCTCTCAAAAAACTGTTAGGCACATGAACCCTTGGCCTGATACTATGCAATTTTTTGGTTTAAGAATGAATATGTCTTAAATGTGTTACAGCAGTCAAGGTGGTTCTTCGTATTTTTTCTTTGCGTAAAAATAATTAGGAACTCGGCTAAATGTAGTAGGTTGCACAACATGCTAGGCTGTAAGTGTGCTAATGGGGATAAGTCTTCTTTAATTAATTGTCTGATCTGTGCATATGGGCACTATAAAAGATATAGCTGCTAACTATTGGTGTTGAGTGTTGTATTATTTATCTGTTCTTGTAGGAGATATATGAGCCATACGTTCACCTCAGGCTAAAAATCAATGACCCAGATACAGGATTAACAGAATATCTACCTTTCACTCTCACTGCCAACAAGTTTAAGGTTTTTCATCATGGTAAGTAGAGCTGAGAGGGTCTATGTCCCCCAGGGTACTGCCGGAACAGACCCTGGGTACTGTCCGGTATACCGGAACGTACCCTGGTACTATCTAATATGCAGGACCGTACCTCGCCTACTCCACTAACGAGTCTAGGGAGTCGCCTA